AAGTTATTTTATTGAGTGGGAGATTACTCGATCGCAAGTTTTTGACACTTGAATAGTGCTTTTGTGTAAAGTTAGAAGGGGAGAGGTTCNTGTTAATTGGTAAGTTATTTAATTGAGTGAGAGATTACTCGATCGCAAGTTTTTGACACTTGAATAGTGCTTTTGTGTAAAGTTAGAAGGGGAGAGGTTCAGTATGGAGTAATTTAAGTTAATGAATGAAGCGCTCAAATCAGCGAATGTGCCACTGAACGTGGTGGAGGGATATATTGGTGAGGTGAGTGTGTCAGTGCCGTGGAGGGAGCTGAAGCAAAAATCATGCGAGATACAGATCACGGATCTGCAGCTGACACTGCAGCCGTTAGAGCACAACGGACACGATATGAATCAGGCGGATTTGGGTTCGTTTATTATTTGTTTATTGTAAAGTATTACTGTTATTAGTTGGGATTTGTGTGTATGAAGTGAAATATTATTATTATAATGAACAATTAAAGTATCGTCAATGCTGAGCAGTATGGGTTCGCTGGCATCTTCAATAGATATAGCGAAAAGTTTGAAGAATGAGGAACTGCAGCAAAAGGACATTGAAGACTATGGTGTGGAGCAATTTGCTGAGGTGGAAATTTTATTTTTATTTTATTTTATTATTATTATTGTTATCATTATTATTATTTATTTTTTGTTATCGTTATTATTATTATTATTATTATTATTATTATTAATGTTGTTGAGGTGATCGATTCGATACTATCACGTTTTCGTTTGGTATTTATGGATACGACCATAAGGTTAGAGAATGAGCCAGATCCTGAATCGAGATTATGCACTGCGTTAGAAGTACAAATTGACTGGTGAGTTGTTGCGTATTTTTATTGTTTATATAATAATAATAATAATAATAATTGTTATTGTTATTACTATTATTGTAATTGTAATGAAAGAAGTAAACAATCAGGATCGAGTTCATAGACGAGCAGTTGAATGCGTGTCAAACACACGACGCGCCCATGGACGCGATCACATCACAGCCACACTCTCTATCGGCGATTCCCGATCTCAATAAGTTGTTCCATCTGAAAGGAATTCGATTCTATACGGACGTTTTTTCGAGGTTTGTTTTATTGTTTGTCTTATTATTTAGGTGCTTATGCTGTTTAGTCCCTCCACCCGTACGCAAGATCACGCACGCGTGCACGTAGCCACGCCCTCTCCGTGCTAGTGCATCGCCGAAGTCAGCGTAACAGAATGGGCGTGGCCTAAAGTGCGCATCACAACTTGCGGCGGTGTTGTTGAATTATTATTGTTATTATTGTGATTCGCAGTAAGTAATTGAGTTGATGTCACCAGTTTCAGACCAGACAACGAGTTGGTAGCTGATGACGATAATAACTCGTCATCGCAGGTGATTACGAGTATGTATATTAGACGAGAGAAGGAACGGACGAAACGGGTTGGTGGCATTTTTTGGTATTGATTGGTATGTTTATTGTGATAGTGATAGTGATAGATAGAGATATTTATGTGAAGCGTTGCGTATTTCGCGCGGGAGTGATAGTGTTTATTTTAATGGAGAGATAGTGAAGGATGGCTCAGTTGTGTGGTTGTTGGATTGGTGAGCGGTTGGGTGGTGGTGTGCTGGGTATTGGTATTGGTATGGGTGGTGCGGTGTGGGTATGGTGCTTTGTTGCGATGGGAACTTTATACTTTTATCCTTACTTACTTACTTACTTGGGTATCGAGTTACTTGCTTACTTGGGGAATTGTTAGTATTATTAAATGAGTAGTAGAGTACGAACGAGATGGTGATAGCTTAGGTGTACTTAATGTTATGTTATTATTATTGATAACGCTATGTTGGATGTTATACGTAGTTAGCAGTAATGAATTGAAGATTTATTTGTAAATTGAAGTTGATGCGAATGAAATTGTTATGGTTATGTTGAAGTGGTGTTAGTGGATGTTGTTTATTATTATTATTATTATTATTATTATTATTGTTGTTATTTTTGGCATAATTGTTAAAATATGAACGTTACAGAAGACTTCTTCAATCGAGAGTGTGACAGCAGTAGGGGACGATGTATTGGGTAATATGGAGGAGAGTGCGACTAGCAGTATGCTGGCGCATTCGTCGATATCCGATTATCACTCGTGCTACTCGAAACTGGACGCGAGTGAGATGAGCCAATTGTCACCTCCAGGGCAGTTGTCACCCAGCAGCGAGGCAAGGCCCGTTGGGCAGTTGGCATTACCGAAAAGGTTATTTATTGTTGTTATTATGATTGTTATTATTATGATTATTATTCATTATAGCTTATTAAGATTATTATTGTTATTATTATTATTGTTATTGTTATTATTGTT